GGGGGAAGGGGGGTTGTGGGGAGATTTTGAGCACTCAGCGCCTGCTCCCCCCTGCCCCTTTCTCCAGCAGTACGCACACCTCGGACCCTCCCGACGGGCACGCGTGGTTGCCCCCTGACATCACGGCGGAGGCTCCAATCGCAGGAACGGGGGCGGCCCCCGGTGCTCGGGACCGAGAGCGAGCGGGGCGGGCTGGGGGGGGAGAAGATGTAGATGGAGACGGGGGGGGCTCCGGTGGCGGCTCTGTCTCCATGCAAGGGATGGGGACGCTGCGGCTGGGGAGCCGTGCTGTCATGTACACGGCCGAGACACTGCCCAAGGGCAAGAACCGAGTGATGGGGGTGAGTTGGGAGGGGGGGGGGGGTGGGGGGGGGGGGTACTGCCATTACAACTCCTCGTACCCCTGCTGACCTCTCCAAAATGCCCCCACCCTTAGCATCCCTGAGAGGTTCCCCATCCCTGAGAGGTTCCCCATCCCAGTGGGTGCCCTCAGACCTTAGTGTTGGTGGGGGGCACAGGGACCTTCCTCCCTCTTCCTCCCCATGCTCTGTGGTAAGAGAAGCTCCCACTGGAGCTGGGGGAACAGAGGGGTTAATCCTAGGCATGGGGGGGCTGGGGGCACTGAAGGATTAACCCTTGGCTTGGAGGTGGAGGGATGAGGAGCATAGGGGCTGTGTGCCTCCCCCAGCGTAGCACACAGCAGGGATGCATCCCCCATGCATGCGCATTCCATCCATGTGGGAACCCCTTCCTAAACCGCAGGGTTGGAACCCTGGGGGTTTGGCTCCTAAAGCTCAGGGGCTGCCCCAGGGGGGCCCATCCCTGACTCGCCGTCCCCTCAGACGATCCAGATCATGACTGGCTTCATGCACATTGGCTTCGGTATCGTCCTGACCACGCTCACCAATGTCTACTCCTCCATCTTCATCACCGGCGAGATCCCCTTCCTGGGCGGTGTGTCTGTGCGTAGCATGGGAGTTGGGGGCTGCCTGCCGGCCTCCCCACTTCCTCTGGAGATGGGGAAGCTGGGGGGGTGCTCTATGGGTCTGGGGACACGGGACTGAGTGCCCCCCTCCCCTCTCCCGCTGCAGTTCATCATCTCAGGCTGCCTGTCCATTGGGGCAGAGAAGAGTCCCACGGAGTGTGCGGTGAGTGTCTCTCTGCCCCCCGCCCCCTTCCTGGCCCCCAGATCTGAAGTGGGATGTGGGGAGCAGCACGTGCACGAGTGGAACCCACTGGGGCAAAGCTGTGTCCCCGTTTGAAGCTTGTACTGAGGTTATTTCTGTCAATGAGCAATGGGAAAAGGGGAATTAGCAAAGCTGTTAATTCTGCTGTGTCAGCAGCAGCGCTGAGGGAGTGCTGGGATCCCACATCAGGGGTGGTGCTGGGGGTGGCCCTGAGATGTTACCCACAGCTGTGGGGTAAAAAGGGCCAGGAAAAGCCTCTCCATGCCTGCAGGTGAAGGGCAGCCAAGCCATGAACATCATCAGCGCCATCTTTGCGCTCCTGGGCATCGTCGCCTTCATCATTGACCTCAACTTCAACGGGCTGTACCGCTCCAGCGATGACTACTACAGCTACCTTGTCATGGTAGGTGGGGGAGCCCTGTGGGATCCTCTGCACTCTGGAGCACTTCTCTAGACCCATTGGGATCTTGGCTCTATCGGGGCTCCCACCATCCCTTGGGCACGGTGCCACTGCCTGACCTACACTGGGCTGGTGCTGTGGGAGATGACTCATGCCCTGCATGTGCCTGGTTCTGCCTGAGCTTTGGGAAAGCAGAGAGGCACAAAAAAAAAGACACAGAGCAAGACCCAGGGCTGGTGGGAGATGGGAAAATGTCTCAGTGCACGGGGGATGTCAAGAACTGGGCACTGCTGATGGAACCTTCCCCACTTTGGAGCTCGCAGGGAATGGCATCTCCATCGTGCTGCTCATCTTCACCGTCCTGGAGTTCTGCATTGCTGTTGCCACTGCCAACTTCTGGTGCCGAGCAACACGACTCAGCCCCAACGAGGTAACAGGGGAGCAGCAGGCAGAGCACAGGGTCCTCGTTCCCCTGGCTGGGGATAAGCATGGGATGCTATTTTCCCCCTCCAGGCCATGCTGATCGTGCCCAGCACCACCAGAGTGGACCTGGCTGTGGTGCAAGCAGAGCTGCCACAGCCGCCCAGCTACTCGGAGGTGAGGGGGCTCCAGGAGGGCCGCACTGAGCCCCCAGCTCTTTGTGCAACAGCCATCTCTGAGCGCTCCTCTTTCACAGCTGGCAGCTCCTGAAGTATAGCTGGGCAGCAAGGATGTCACAGAAGCCACCTGCAGCTCCAGGGCATCGGCCCCTTCTCCTGCTGCACTGCAGGCTGGGCCATGCTTTGTAGCCCCTGAACTCAGCCCCTGTCGTCGTCCCCCAGCCCGCCCCTCCTGACCCCCATACCCTGCCCAGCTCTCACCTCCTGGCTCTCTGGGAAGGGATGGAGGTGGTCCTGCCCCATTACCCCAGCCAGGTGCTGGGCACCACACAGCAGCCGGACTCATTCCATTGTCAGCTCAGCCCCCGCTGGCTTCACTTTCTCTTGAAAATAAAATAATAAAATGCTGTGGCCAGACCCGGCTCTGCTCCTTTGCTGGGGGGGGGTTGCCAGAGGAGGTTACAGCTCCGTATAGATTTCAATACTCTGTCCCCTGCTGTGGGGGCTTGCACTTAGAAGGGGCTGTGGGGATGAGCCCCAGCACAGGAGGATTCATTGGAGAGCATTTTGCACCTTCCTCCAGAAGGAGTTTTGGGTCAAGTTCCGTGTTTTCCTGCTCATTTCACCACCCCCCTCCCAGTGCTTATACCATTCAGCCAAAACCTCATGGATTATTCACTCGCTCTGTTATTTCTGGGCCTGGTGCTGAAAAAATAATGAGCAGGTTTGCGAGGAGAAGCCCCAGAGGTGGGGGGAGTGCAGGGGGAAAGGATCATACTGCTCGTGTTGTGCTCACAGCACAGTCAGTTCTAGCTCCCAAGGGTCTCCCTGTGCCCATCCAGCTCTGTGCTGGTGTTCTGGCCACCCTGTGGCCAGTGCTCTTGTGGGGTCCACGCACACCCCACAGAGAGCTGAGGACCTGCACCCAACCTTCACTCCTGGCCAGGCTGCATCCTTGGGTCAAAGTAGACCAGGAAGCAGCTGGGATGGGCTTGAGGAGCAGCAGTGCAGCAACTCTGCTGAGCAATGGGTGCGGAGATGAAAGCCAGCTCTTCCTTTTTTCGTTTGCTGAAGGCTGCCCCAGAAAACACGACTTCCTCTTTAAGTAATCAGTGATCTGGAGAAAAAGCTGAAATCTGTCTTTTGGTATTTTTATGGGGATATAAAGTTTTTCACAGGAAGCAGAAACTTGCTGTGAGAAGCATTTACCCATCATGACTTGTTTTCCTTGGAAAAACGCAGGGATTTGGATCGGAAAGAGCCTGCAGCATGCAGGGTTTGCTGCTTCCCGGCATCTGCTCAGCCTGTGGGCTTCACCTCTTCTGGCATCTGCTTCTAAAATATCTTGTAACATCCTACCTTGGGCTCCTGCCATCCCCAGCTGGGCCTGGCTTTATTTAGAAAGAGAAGAATGCTTTCTCCACGAATCCCCCCTTTCAGAAATGGGTTTTAAGGCACTTCAGTGAGCTCCCACTGCTGGGATGAGAGCTGCCACAGTTGCTTCCAGCTGAACGGCTGAAACTCCAGGGATGCTTTCAGAGCCTGAAAGCACGGATTTGGGAGGAAATCCACTGCAGTGAGTGATTTCAGCTGGGAATGCAAGCTGCTGCTGATCTTGACAGGGGACACCACATGTGTACAAAGGATAAATAGGGGATCTGGGCATTTCCACAGGTGCTGAAGCATTCCTGGGTAACCAAGCACCAATAGCCACCAGGAGCGTAGCTGATGGGCAGAACTCTTCCACCTCCCAGCTCTTTCTGGAAAGCTGCCTCCCTAGATGAGACATAACCCAGCCTGCTGTGGGGAACTGCCCCTTCTCCAGACCCCAGGTGTCTTCCCCAGAAGGATACTGCCATGGGGACATTTTCTAGGCTCATTTCCACACAGAAGCCACCCTCCATCCTGCATACTGATCTGTGGTCATCACCCCTTCAGAAACACGCCTAGCAGAAAACAATGCATTGCGGGGATGTGTGACAAAGCAGCCTTGTCCCAAGCTCTCTGTGAAATAAAGCGGAGAAGTTGCTGGTCCCCCATGCACATGGGGATGCCAAGAGGTGGCCCCCATGGGCTCGCAGTGGGGCCAGAGCAGGTGTCCCAGCTCTAGGGCCAAAGCAAAGCAAGAGGTGCTTCCTAAAGCTACATTTGGGATGCAGCCCCGTGTCTGCCCCTGTCGCTGGGGACACCGATTTCCTGGGTCAGAATCCCCACCGTCCTGGCTGTTCTTCTACACGGGGAGGAAGCGGCTGTTTTTCTGGCAAAGCCAGAGCACAGTGGCCTGAGGAGGGAGGAAGGGGCCCCTTGGGTGCTCTTCGGGAGCTCTCACCATGTGCTGTGGCTCCGTTCCCAGTCTGAGCTCTCATTTCCTATCGGAAACGATTGCACCCCCCTTCCTTTCAGCAGAGGAGCGAGCCTCCCAGCTCATGATTGTGGGTGGACTGCCATCAGCGGGAACAGGCACAGGGAGTTTGGGAGGCAGAGAGACACAGAAAGGTAGCAAATGAGGTTCCCTAGGACTGACAGGGTTTCGGCTGTGCGTCATTTCACTCCCATTTGTCCTGTAAGAACAGCACCAGCCAGACCAGCGGTCTCTTCCTCTGATCACTGACGCTCACTGCGGGCACTCAAAGCAGATTCACTTATTTTTGCAGCCTCTCTTCCTTCTGTTGGCAAAGCTGCCTCATTGAGCAAGAGGGGCCTGACAGGACTTCCGCAAACAAACTTCCTCTGCGGATCAAAGGGCAGCAGCACTGCAGCCCTTGTAGTCCACCTAAATTTCCCAAGGGACCAGGAGCAGCAGCACAAGCCAGGCTAAGTGAGGTACAGGGCACAGGATGGGGTGTGAAATGTCCCCATCAGGCTGACAGCACTCCACACACGGACTAAGCACAGGCCCACCCCCATCCCCGGGCCTCTGCAGGTAATGGCAACCACGGTGACAGAATCTGGCGGCGTGCGGATCATCACAGAAGTCATCCCGGCCACAGACCCACGGGCAGCCCAGCTGGCCTCCGGCTCCATCCAGCCCACCGTGTCTTCTTTCCAAGTCAGCGGCTTCAGGAGAGCACAGCCCAAAGTGCTGGGGGTGAGTCTGCAGCGTGGTAGGGCACATCTCCTTGGCATCGTGCTGCTGATGCTGGGATCGGGGTGGGATGCACGTAATGGCAATGCTAATCCTTGTCAGCACACAGGGGACCCCCTCTCTTCTGTCCTTTCCCAGACCATTCACATCGTCACCGGCATCATCCACTTGTGCTTTGGTGTCATCCTGACCTGTGCAGAGAACAACAGTGTCCTCTCCCTTCCTGTGGCCAGCGGAGTCTTCTTTTGGCTTGGGGTTCTGGTATGCAAGGGCATGCTTGGGCTTCAACCCCTTACTGCCCAGAGATATGGGGCTGGATCCCCTTGTCATGGGGGGCTCCTCGTATACCTCATATCCACTATTCTTTCTGTGGCTGGAGAGTCGGTGAGGGTGGACCTGAACATTGGAGGGGCTCTGGGATGCGTGATGGGAAGCTGTGCCCAGCTGGTGCCTCTCTTCCTCCTGTGTTTTCCAAGCAGCTCCTGGTTTCAGGCTCTCTCCTGGTAGAAAGCGAGAAAAGAGAGAACATCCTGCTGGTAAGGGCTTTGTGTCGCTGCTGCACACAGCCTCCATGAGGCGCTAAGAAGGTTGGATGGGAGACACGTCCCTGTAGGGTGACCCTTCCTGATGTGAACCACGCAGGTGAAAGTGTGTTGTGTGGCCAATGCCGCCGTCATCCTCAGCACGCTGGTGGCCATGCTCATACACACAGTGGCCATCACCCACAGCATCCCCGGCTGCAGCAGCAGCAGCAGCATGCCGCTCCTGGTGAGGCAGGAATGGTGCTTCAGCGCCGAGACCAAGGTACTGCCCGTGGCCATGCGCAGCGGACGCTGTGGGGCAACAGGATGCTAACTGCCTTCCTGCCATCAGGCCCTGAGTAACGGCTTCGACTCCATCCTCGTCCTCTTCGGCCTGCTGGAGTTCTGCACAGCTGTGGCGGCCCTGGCCTTTGGCTGCACTGCCATCAAGCAGTACAGTTACACACGCATGGTACAGGGCTCTGCTCTACTGCCTTCCTCCTTAGCGGGCCCTGACGCTGGCCCTACAGTTCCTTCTTCTCCCTCTCCAGGTGCTGTAGTGAAGCCCACATCATCCCTGCTGCTCCCCACAGCCGGACCGCGCCCAGCCCTAAGCAGGAGCCCCACGCACTCCTAAAAAATCCTAAAAAACGAACCAAAAAATCCCAATAAACTGCCTCTCCCCCAGCCAAGCCTTCGCGTTTCTCTGCAGGTCGGGCAGCACGTCGGCTGCAATATGGCGGCCCCCACCAGGCCTGGGGCGCTGCCCGACACCAACATGGCGGCTGTGGAGGCGGATGTAAGTGGGAACTGAGCATGCGCGCAGCGCGTTGTGATGTCATCTCCCGGCGCCTGGAGAAAGGCGCCGCGTGGAGGATGGAGGGGTGCAGTACAGCAGCGGCTCCGGGCTCCGAGGGGCCCAGCGGGGAGGGCTCAGTCTCGGTCTCTGTGTCCGTCTCCGATCTCGCCCAGACCTCAGCCATGGGTCCGGTCTCTGAAGTTTCCCAGGTTCCAGCCCACCGCAAGGCCGCCAAGAAGCGGAAAGAGGCGGCGGTGCCGGCCATCCCCCGGGGCAGGCCCAAATCGGGGCGGGTGTGGAAGGACCCGGGCAGGAAGAGGTGGGAATGAGGAAGAGGGCTTCCAGGCCGTAGGAGGATTCTGTGCGGTGGTCCGGTGTCGGTGAGGGCCGAGGGGTACGGGGTTATAGAGAAGGGTATAGGGCTGCAGTGGGGGAGCTCCCCCGGTGGGCTCAGGCTGTGGTTCCTGAGCGATGTGGGGGCTTTGGGGGTGGCCGAGGTGCTGTTGGGAGCCCTGAGCTGGAGGTGAGAGGAAGGGCAGCTGTGACAGGACTTCCCAGCTCCGGGAAGTCTTGGGAGGGCCGGGAGGATTGCCTCTCCCCATTACAGCCCCACCTTCCCACCCAGGTTCTCACTCATGGTGCAGGACAAACCTCTTCGCACTTCGTGGGAGCGAAAGCTGAAGGAGCGGCAAGAGAAGAAGCTTGTGAGGGACTTGGTGCAGCAGCTTCAGGAGGCGAAGCAGAGGGAGAGAGAGGTAACAGGATGCTGTGTTTGGGAGCTGGGCCAGCTCCTTCTGCATCACCCAGCGCGCTGGGGCAGCTCTCCCCATGGCGCAGTTCCACATCTTTGCCTACATCCCAGCCTTGCGGGCTGCTGCCCTGCAGTGAGCACAAAGCTTCCCACAGCCAGATGAGATTCTCCTATTGGATCCCCTATTGTCCTGCCAGCTCCGTGCTGTGATAGTCACTTGCTGCAAGTTGCTGTTTTTTTGGATAATTTCAAACTTGGGCCTCATGGAGGGTGGGGAAGGAAAGTGTTGACTCTGTGTGGCAGGTTTCTGCATGCAAGGGCATTGCTGTAGCCCTGCAGTTTCTTGTCTGGCCCCTCTGCTCCCAGTGGCCTAAGCTTAAGGCTGGAGGGTGGGAGCTGCAGAGACATTCTGGTGTTGTTCCCACAGGAGAAGAAGCGGCAGCGGGAGGAGAACCTCAGAAGGCGGCTGGAAAATGAGCGGAAGGCAGAGATTGTTCAAGTGGTGAGTCCAGAACTGAATGCTGGGCTCTAATTTGACTTCTGCTCCAGTTCCTCCCCCTACCTCCACCCCAGCTCTGGAGTGGCTGGGGGAAGACAGTTGCAGCTCCTCATGAGGTCATTCCGGGGTGACCCATGAGGTAACAGAACATGGGATATGGGGCAGCAGCAGCGCTCCAAGCACGTGAGGCTTTGGTAGGGCTTCTCTATGTTGGAGAGACCTGGGGGTGGTGGGGTAAAGGGGGATGACTATCTCCTGTTCCTTTCCTCCCGTGCAAGAGCTGGGGGAGCCTGGAGTTTATCCTAAAACTACCTGGGAGTTTTAGGATAAAATGCTGCCTTTCCACCTGTCTGAAAGCTGCCTCCTTCTGCCCTCCAGATCCGCAACCCAATGAAGCTCAAGCGGGCAAAGAAGAAGCAGCTGCGCAGGGTGGAGAAGCGGGACACACTGGGCATGTTCCAGAAGGCACCCATGAGGGGCAAAGCAGCTGCAGAGTGAGGCTGGAGTTCTGCAGGCCCTGCTGATGTCTGAGGTCCGCACTCTGAATGGACAGCAGGATGGAAAAGAATCCAGCTGCTGCGTGCCCTGTCTTGTGAAAGCAGGTTGTTGTCAGTGCCTGGGGCTGGACTGAAGATTGCCCAAATCTACCTTTTCTTCATTAAAAGCAAAGAGGAATTGCTCCAGCCTTGCCTTCAAGGAGGCTTCTGTACCTCTGGAGTCACAGGGCACCGTGGCCCCTGCCCCTGGGGCTTCATTTCCTCTAGGAGAAGCCTTGCTCCTGAGAATGAGTGCTGGGGTGGGAGCACCTTCACTGTGTTGCAGAGCAAGTGAGCACACTGCAGCCTCCTGCCTGCTCTTTTAGGCTGGGAGACAGCAGGGAGGTGGGAGGAATGAAGGAGTTGAGCTGGAAGCCCATGTGCACCTCTTCACAGTTGTAGATAGATTTCTTGCCTTACGAGCGCCTATTTCTGCGTTTTTCCTGCTGGTTGTGTTTCCCTGTGCTGCGCTGAACAAGCAGTTGCTGGAGGGAGCCATCCCACGCACCCTGGGCAGAGGGAAGCACGGGCAGTTAACTGGATGCAACATCTGTGGGTTCTCCACTGGGGCAGGCGGAGCTCCCCGCTGCTGCATCCCCACCCCTAGTAGGGGAAAGGCTGAGGAGCCTGCCATGGGGCGGGGCAGAACTGTGGGTCATCAGCCTCGCGGCTGCATTCTTTTTGCTTCCTGGGTTAATGATTGCTGGGGTGGCGAGGTGCTGCCAGTCTCCAGCACGCAGTAATTGACCTCACCTTCGCCTGCTCTGCGGGGGTAAGAGGGGCTTGGGTCTTCTCTACGTGGCTTTGGGGCACGCGGAAGGTTTTCCAGTGTGGTGTGTGGGTGCACCCCACCAGGTGGGGCCACGGAGGACTCCTAGCTCTCTGGGAAGGGGGTGAGTGCAGGGCAGTGGGTCTCGAGCTTTCAGTAGCCAGTGCTGAAGAGAGGAGGTTGAGGTGAACGGGGAGGGGTTCCTGGGGGATCCTGGAGCAGCACACCGACGCGCTGGTGCTGTGCTGCTGTCCCCAGGTGCACCATGGTGGAGGTGATGGTGATGCCGAGCTCCTCGCTGGCTGACCAGATGGTGCAGGTGGTGGTTTCTGGACTGGCTCCCTCGCAGTTGGTGACTCTGCGTTCCTGGCTGATGGATGAGCATGGCGAGCGCTTCCAAGCACGTGCCTTCTACCGCTCCGATGAGGAGGGCACAGTGGATGTGGGGCGGCACGCTGCCCTGGGGGGCAACTACAGCGGCATCTGGCCCATGGGACTCTTCTGGTTCCTGCAGCCTGACAACCTCTTCAAGCGCCTGGTGAAGCGTGATGTCATGGGCAGCCCCTTCCTCATCCACCTGGAGGTGTTTGACGGCCTCCGCCTGGTGTCGGGGCAGCAGGATGAGCCTCTGGCCACCTGCACCGCCGAGCGGTGGTACGTGGGCCCTGGTGTGCAGCGGGTGCCCATCCGCGAAGGGAGGGTGCGGGGGGCCCTGCTGCTGCCACCAGGTGAGTTGGGGGGCAGGAGCAGCCCCAAAGGGTCTCTGGGTCGCTGCCCTAGTGGCTTGGAGCCGGAGGTGGGACTGGGGGGTTCCTTGGTGGGAAGACCCCAAGGCTGGGTTTGGGCTGTGGGCTGGTGGCACCCCCTTGGTGTGGGATGGTAACGGGCTGTTGGCACCCGCTGGGGACGGATCCTGCGTGGAAAGACCCCCAGTCTGGGTTTGTACCGCGGTGTGGTGGCAAGGGCTGGTGGCAGCCTTCATGGTGTTGGGTTCCTTGCTACCTGCAGGCCCAGGGCCCTTTCCAGCAGTGATCGACTTGTTTGGGGGTGCGGGTGGTCTCATTGAGTTCCGGGCTGGGCTGCTGGCCAGCCGGGGCTTTGCAGTGCTGGCCTTGGCTTTCTTCGCCTACGAGGACCTCCCCAAAGGCCTAACCCAGCTCGACCTGGACTATTTCGAGGAGGCTGCCGAGCTGCTCCTGCAGCACCCGAAGGTGAGTGCTGTGGTGTGGTGGGCAGCCTCAGCAAACAGGGACACGCTGATGAATGAGGTTGTACGAAGGGCTGGGATCATCCTGGATATGTCATGGTGTCATGGAGGTCGTGGTGAGGAGAGGTGTCCTGGTGGCCAGGGGCATCCTCCTGGTAACTTGGGAGTGTTGTAGTGATTGGGAACACGCACAGATCATAGAACCACAGAATATGCCGAGTTGGAAGTGACCCACTAAGGGCTGTTGAATCAAATTCCTGGCTTCATGCAGACCATCCAAAAACTACACCGTATGTCTGAGAGCAACGTCCCCATGGCCGGGGCCATCCTGAATTTGGGGACATCCTGCTGACAGGGATGTCTTGATGACCAGAGATGATGCCACAGTGCACAAGGAGGTCCTGAGATGCCTCCTCGTGAGCAGGGCTTCCCCAGTGATCATGGCTGTCCCGGTGCCGTCCCATCGGTGCCATCACCCCCTCCGTCTTCTCTCGCCCTGCAGGTGCGAGGCCCAGGGCTGGGTGTCATTGGTGTGTCCAAAGGGGCTGAGGTGGCTCTGGCCATGGCCGCCTTCCTCCCGCAAGTGGTGGCCACAGTGTGGATCAATGGCACGACCTTCCTGTATGGCAACCCCCTGCTCTACAAGGGCCTCCGCATCCCTTCCATCCCGTACCAGACCGAGCGCATGCTCTTCACCGAGCTGGGTGCCATGGACAACTCGGCCATCTTCACCGACCCGCGCAGCCCAGCCTGCAGCTCCTCGGCCATCCCGGTGGAGAAGATCCAAGGCAAGGTCCTCTTTGTGGTGGGTGAGGCCGATCGCAGCTTCAACAGCAAACTCTTCGCCCAGCTGGCCGCGGAACGCCTGCCGCAGGACGCCTACCGCCTGCTGTCCTACCCTGGGGCTGGCCACCTCATCGAGCCTCCCGGCTCACCCCTCTGCAGCATCTCCAGCCTGCGTGGCAACCCTCTGCCTGTGGTGTGGGGCGGAGAGCCCCAGCCCCATGCCAGGGCTCAGCAGCACTCGTGGCAGGAGATTGTGCAGTTCTTGGAGCTGCACTTGAGCCCTGCTCCTGCTATCAAGTTGTGAGCTGCTCAATAAAGGCAATGGTTGTACTGGGGGGCACGTTGGGAGTTAATGAGTCTTGGTGGAGGTTAATGAGGCCCCTTCACTCGGGGTGTGAGCGTGCTGGGCAAGGAGCGGCAGCAGTCACGTTTCCTGTGCTCAGCCCCAAAGTGGGATTTTACATCTGGAGTTGATCTCCAAGAAAAGAGAAGACTGAGCCCAAGTCTTGTTGAGCCATGTTCTCTTCCTGCTGAGCTGAGTGTCTCCATGCAGTCCTGGCTCAGAAATCGTCCTTTATCCTCCCATGGAAGGGGAATGTTGCCCCATGGGTGCCTAGCTCCAACGGTTGGGGCTTGATGGCTGAGCTCCAGGGCTCCTTGGGTCTGTGTAGGCTTGGAGCAGGTCTGGAGCCGGCTGTGACCCCAAAGCCGGACTGGGGTCAGGGTGAGAGAATTTAAGCTTCACTAAGAGCAGGACCCAGAAGAGAAACTGGGGAGGGGGGAATGGGGGGCGGGGGAAGCACACAGGAGAAACATGAAATGCTGCTGTCAGCAGCAACCTGAGGGGAGCAAGGTCCTTCCCAGCCCCATGGAGCACTCCCCACACCTCCAGCCTGGGCACAACTCGCTTCCAGGTCTTTGTGCCCCCTCTACTCGGTGACAGTGGGCACCCCACTGCTGTTACACTAAGCACCTTGGAGCACTGCTGGCAACGGCACCGGTGCGGTGTGGGGTGACGAATGAGCCAAGGGGTGTCCAGGGACTCCTGTGCTCTGCTGGGAGCAGCAGTCTCAATTCCCCATTTGCAGGAGCATTTCCCTGAGCCCATGACAGCTGTGGGGCACCGTGATCTCCAACTGACTTTCGGTTCCCCTGTGGCACCATGAGTGGGGCAGAGCGACCTGGGTCTGTGCGTGGGGGCACCCCTGGCCGCGAGAGCACTTGGACAGGGACTGGGGCAGCCCAGCCTGGCGGAAGATGTCCCTGCTGTAGCACTGCTCTATGGACTCCTTGGCATGCTCCCATGGCCAGCAGGGAGCCGGATGGCATACACCACGGAGCTGTGGGGTCTTATGGCAGCACAGTGCTGCTTCAGCCCCATTTCTTGGTCTAGCACCAGATCTCAATTCCCCATTTGCAGGACACAGGGCATGCCGGCCTTCAAAAAGCTTCCGCTTCCCCCCCATCACTTCTCTGACGCCTCGGTCATCTGATTGTTGCCCAGGTATAAATGGAGGAGACCCACGGGAAGCTCTGTGTTGTGCTCAGCACTGAGATGGCCTGGAGCTGCTCCCTGCTGCTGCCGTTGCTACTGCTGCTGCCCACATGGCTGCCCTCTGGCTCGGCACTGCTGCGGTACCATTACGATTGTGGGGACTTTGGCATGCAGCTGCTGGCGTTTCCCACACGTGGCCGCACCATGCGCTTCAAGGTCCTGGGTGAGTGATGGGCATCCCGTGGCAGTATGAGGGGGGTGGGAAGGGGTCAGCCTCACCGCCCCCGTGTCCTCGCAGATGAGTTTGGCACCCGCTTCGAAGTGGCCAACTGCTCCATCTGTCTGCACTGGCTCAGCGCTGTGGAGGATGGTGGGCTAGTCTTCTCAGCTGGCTACAAGGGCTGCCACGTGGTGCTGAAGGTGAGGCTGTGCTTGCTTGTGGGGCACCCGGTGAGCTGGGATGGGGTTACACCTCCTGCTTTCCCTGCCACAGGACGGCCGCTACGTGCTGCGGGTGCAGCTGGAGGAGATGCTGCTGAGTGGGGTGGTGGCTGCGTCCTACGAGGTGAACATGACGTGCCCACAGCCAGCTGGCTATGAGGTCCTCAGAGATGAGAACGTGCATGGCCACCACCAGCCCGAGCGGGGCAATGGCGCTCTGACAGGTCACGGTGTCGATGTCCTCATCCCCCGGCCACGGCCCGGCCTCCTGCAGCACATAGCCCATTCTGCCCTGGCCGTCCCTCGCCCCCAGCTGCCCCCCAGAGCCCCCATGGAGCAGAGTCACCCTGTGGCACATGCACAGCCCATCCTGGAGCCCTCAGAGCTGCAGCACCAGCCTCAGCCCGGCATGGAGCACCCAAGACCCCAGCCCCAAAACCAACCTGGGACGATCCATGCTAGTGGTCAAACCCAGATGGGTCTCCTTCATCCAGGTCTTCAGTCCCCAAACCAGCCTGCATTTGTGCATGTTGGAAGTCAGATCCAACCAGGGGTCCTTCGCCCAGGTCTTCAGTCCCCAAACCAGCAAGGATTAGTGCGTCCAGGGAGTCAAACCCAACCAGGTGTCCTTCGCCCAGGTCTTCAATCTTCAAACCAGCATGGATTAGCACACCCAGGGGGTCAAACCCAACCAGGTGTCCTTCGCCCAGGTCTTCAATCTTCAAATCAGCATGGATTAGCACACCCAGGGGGTCAAATGCAATCAGGGGTCCTTCGCCCAGGTCTTCAATCTTCAAACCAGCATGGATTAGTGCACCCAGGGGGTCAAACCCAACCAGGTGTCCTTCGCCCGGGTCTTCAGTCCCCAAATCAGCATGGATTAGTGCACCCAGGGTATCAAACCCAACCAGGCATCCCTCGCCCAGGTCTTCAATCCTCAAACCAGCATGGATTAGTGCGCCCAGGGAGTGAAACCCAACCAGGTATCCTTCACCAAGGTCTTCAATCCCCAAACCAGCATGGATTACTGCATCCAGGAGGTCAAACCCGGCCGGGTGTCCTCCGCCCAGGTCCTCAGCTCCAGAACCAGCCTGGGCTGGTGCATGCTGGCAGTCAAATCCAAGCAGGTCTTTTTCACTCTGGTCTCCAGCCCCCAAACCAGCCTAGCTTAGTGCAACCCGGGCTGCAGCCTGGCTTGATGCACAGCAGCACTCATGCACAGGCAGGGTTTGTCCGCCCAGGCCTCCAGCCCCAAAGCCAGCTGGGCTTGCTTCTCCCCAGCCTCCAGTCCCACGCCCAGGGCAGCCTCCTGCGCCCCAGCCTCCAGAGCCAAGCAGGGCTGCTGCAACCCAGCCAGCCCCGACCAGGGCTGCTGCGCCCAGGGCTGCCACCACGACCAGGGCTGCAGTCCCAAGCCCAGCCCGGGCTGCTGCATCCCACGGCTCTCTTCTACTCGTCGGCGGGGGCAGGTAAGTGGATAGCATGGGATGGGGCACAGAGACCTGTGCATAGAGACTTGAGGGTGCTGGGAGTGGGTGGAGGGTATCTGAGGAAGGTGGGCACAAGGATGCTTGGGGTGGGCTACAGATATTTGGGCAGGGGGATGCTCAGGATAGGCACAGGGATACTTTGGGTAAGCTAGAGATGCTTGAGCAGGAGAATGCTGTGGTCAGACAGGAAAATGCTTGGGCAGAAGGGTGGGCAAGGATACGTTTGGGTTGGGTTGGGTAGGTGGGCAGTCATGTTGGGCTGGGGGATTCTTGGAGTGGGCAGGATGGTTTGGGTTGGCAGGGAAATCCCCCTCCCCAGGGAATGCTGTGGGGATGCTTGGACAGGAAAGTGAGCAGAGGGTGCTTGGTGTGGGCAGAGGGACGCTTAAGGCTGGAAGGAAGATGCCTGGGAAGAGGATGCTGTGGGTTGACAGGGATAGTTGGGCAGAAGGGTGGGCAGGGAGATGCTGGAGGTGGGCAAGAGGTTGCTGAGGTTGGGCAGGGGGCCGCTCGCTGTGGGCATGTGTGCTGCTGAGTGCTCCCTGCCCCAGGTGAGCCTCTGACACGGGAGCAGTGCCAGGTAGCAGTGGGGAGGCTGTCCTGTGTGTCCCCGCCGGGCCGTGATGCCTGCCTGCAGGCAGGCTGCTGCTTTGATGACACAGACCGTGCGACGCCCTGCTATTACGGCAACACAGGTAGGGCTCAGCAGCGGGCAACCCATTGCTTGCTGTGGCCAACTGCAGCACATGACTGCACCTCTGTGTGCCACAGCCACCGTACAGTGCCTGCCCGAGGGCCACTTCGTGCTGGTGGTGCCACGGGGGCTGTCGGCGCAGCCCTACAACCTGGACAGCGTGCGCCTGGCCAGCACCCAGCCCGGCTGCCAGCCTGCCCAGACCTCTGACACCTTCGTCCTCTTCCACTTCCCTGTCACGCAGTGTGGCACCACTGTGCAGGTGGGGGTACAGCCCTGAGACCTCTCCCCTACCCGACTGCCACATGGGAGCCTGACCACCATGTGCCCCCCCCCCCAGGTGATCGAGGACCGGCTGGTCTACGAGAACCAGCTCATCTCCACCATTGATGTCCAGCCAGGGCCCCGTGGCTCTGTCACCCGTGACAGCGTTTACATGTAAGGGGACGACGGGTGGGGGGCATGGGGACGCTCACAGTGCTGCTCACCCCATTGTCCCCCCGCAGCCTCCACGCCCGCTGCATTTACAATGCCACTGAGCTGCTGCCGCTGAGCCTGGAGGTGGCTGTGCCCCCTACCGCTGCTCCTCTGGCACAGCCGGGGCCGCTCCAGCTGCAGCTGCGCATCGCCACCGGTGAGCCCGTCCCGGTTCTCCAACCCCTGCTCTCCACCCCCATCCCTGTGCCCCCCACTCCTGATTACTTCCGTCCTCACATCCCCCGTCCCCCATCCCCATTCTCACACCCTCACCGCACTATCCTCCATCCCTGTGCTTCCCATCCCCATACTTTCCACCCCGACGCCTTCCCACAGCCTTGTGCCCTGCTCAGCCTCAAACCCTCCTGTAGATGAGAGCTACAGCTCCTACCACCCTGACACCGACTACCCGCTGGTGAAGGTGCTGCGGGACCCCATCTACGTGGAGGTGCGGCTGCTGCAGAAGACCGACCCCAATCTGGTGCTGGTCCTGCACCAGTGCTGGGCAGCCCCCAGCACCAGCCCAGCAGCTGAGCCCCAGTGGCCCATCCTGGTGGACGGGTGAGCAGATGGGGAAAGGGGGGCTGGCAGGGCTCACTTACACTGACACAGGGTCTTCGGTCATCCCTCAGGTGCCCCTTTGCTGGGGACAACTACAGGACGCAGCTGGTGCCGGTGGGACCTGCCACGCTGCAGATGCCCTTCCCCAGCCACTACCAGCGCTTTGCTATCTCCACCTTTGCCTTTGTGGACAGCCCTTCCATGGTGGTGCTGGAGGGAGAGGTGAGGCAGGGGTGTCCTCCCGCTCAGTGGGACCCCACCATGACACCGGGTGTGACATGGCACCGTGTCCCACAGGTGTACATCCTGTGCAGTGCCTCGGTGTGCCACCTGTCGCAGCCCGAGCCCTGCCGGCCCTCCTGTCAAGAGGCCATGCCTTCCCGTAAGTGGGGCTGCGGTGGGGGTCCCTATCTGCCCTTGCCTTTCCCAAACCAACCCCTGTGCTCCTGTCCCCAGGGGCCCGACGAGCTGCAGGGGCCAGGAAGACAGCAGACATCGTGGGCACAGTCACCTCCTGGGGATGCGTTGTCTTGCCGAAGGGTCCTGCAGTGGGGAGACCTTAAGCGTGTGCTGCTGCCTCCTCGCTCCTCCTAATCAGGACAGAGCCCCAGTGCTCTGGTCCCGGTGGGGGCAAGTGGGAACAATAAACCAGCAACTGGCAAAGACTAGTGGTGGCATCTGTGGGATGGGAGTGATGTGGGCGTAAGGTGGGGAGGGAGGGATGGAACCCCAGCAGAACCAGGTCTGTTCTGGCTCCCCTTGCCCCCACCGTGCTGACCAGGGCTGTGGTGAATAGTTCTTTATTTATGTACTGAAACTAGATAACTGCTTACAAAACTGCACAGTCCCCCATCCCTCCATCACAACTATCCACCGGGGTACAGGTTGGAGCCTTTCAAGTGTACCACAGCCACAGAAGAGAGTCTAAAGCCAGAAAGACCAACACGAAACTAGAAAACTAAAACAACAAATCCATGAAGCATGGTGACATCCAACTAACCCCTCCCTCCCCCCGGCCAACAGTTACAGCAAGGAAATCTAAAGGAGAAAGGAAAGCCCTCCCACCCAACCCCCACCCCAAATCCCAGCACTGCAGTGAGCGCTGCCAGCCCCACACCCGAGGCTACAGGCTGTAGAACTTCAGGCTGCGGTCCATGCCTGTCGAGGCGATGAACTTGGCATGGTGGCCAAAAGCCACCCCTGTGGTGAGGCCACTGTGCTCTGCAGAGGGAAGACAGCATATGGTTATGTCACGAAGAGGTGGGAGAGGCTTCCCTGCCACTCTCAGCCCCACAGCCCCGTACCAGTGAAGTGGAGGATTTCTGTCCACTGCTTGCAGATGTAGATCTGGACGTCTGTGCCGCCCAGCGCCAGGTAGGTGCCACTCTGGTCAAAGATGAGAGACTTCACCTGGGGAGGAGCAGAGGAAACAAAGCTTCAGGCCAGGCCCAGGAAGTTCCCTCCAGACACCGTGCCAGAGGTGCAGCGCCCTCTCTGTCCTCCAGCACCCCAAGCAGAGCAAAACGGCAGGGCTCGGGTGGCCAACGCTGGGACAAGGGAGCCACCGCACCTCGAAGTTATTGTCCAGCTGCAACGTCTTGAAGTTCTTCAGTTTACGCAAGTCCCAGAGCTTGACAGAGGAGTCGTCTGCAGCTGTGGCCAGGTAGTAGCCGTTCTCAGAGAAGGCAATGCTGGTGATGGGGCCCGAGTGCCCTGGGAAGTTGGCCACGTTGGTGCGTTCCTGGGGACAGGAGGATCAAACATGGGCCTCAAGCATCCTCTGCCTCCCCAGGGCAGCAGCTTGGCGAGGAGAGAGACAACAGCGCACAAAGACGACAGAATTCGCACGTGCCCAGAGAAGCAAGGATGAGGAAAGCCACAGGGCTGTCACTCCAGGGGGCACACAAAGCTCTGTGCGAAACACAGCACCCGCTGCCCAACCCCTGCCTGCCCAGGGCCAGTCCTACCTTCAGATCCCAGATTTTGATCTGAGAATCCATCGTTCCTGTTCCAAAGATGAGCCCATCTGGGTGGAATTGGGCACAGGTGAGGGCTGCAGAGACAGAGAGACATACGAGGGTTGGGGAGGCTCTGTCCTGTGAGAACCCTGCTACCAGGAGCTCCCAGGGAAGAAAATCCCCCCTCCGCACAGCCACAGGAGCCCCACAGCACGGGTACTCTTTGCCTTACCGCAGCCAGAGCTCTCATCTGTCACCTTGGTGAGAACACGGCCCGTCTGGATGTCTGAGAAGGCCCAGTACTGGAAGAGACACGCGTGGCATTGAGCACGCAGCCACCAAGCAGGGTGTCCATGCGCCCTGAGCCCAGGCTGCCTCTCACCTGGTCATCAGAAGAGCTCAGAAGGTAATCACCCGTGGCATGCAGGCTGAGCCCTGTCACAGAGCCCTCATGGGCACGGACAACCTGCACACAGGAAGCATTGGGCACAGACCAGATCCGGATGGTGGCATCAGGAGAAGCTGAGAACACCAAATCCTAGAGATAAAGGGATAAAGCAGGAACTTTAACATCAAAACAGTGCCGTGACTCTGTTCGCGAGCTCCTTTACAGGCAGGAAGGGAAAGCTTGAAGAGGGCAGCAGCACACCTGTGAGGGGTGGAACACAACACTGGTGACCTTCTTAGAGTGGCCCTTGAGTGTCGCCAGGATCTGCTCCGAGCTCTTATCAAAGACGATGACATTTTTATCAGCCCCACCTAGCAAACGAAGCAGGGAACTATCAGAGATGAGACTTGTGGCTGGCCAACTTCAACATCCACCTGCTGTTCTTTGAGATCTCTGTCCTGAGAAGCTCTCAGGATGTGAGCCAAGAGAATTCCTCATGCCCCTTTGCTCACTCCAACCTCACAAAAGGTCAGAGAAAGGGCCCCATTCCCAGGAAGTTGAAGGGTCTGTGCTGACAACAAAGAGGGATGTGGCTCCCTTACCAGTGAGGATCTTGTTGGTGTCGGAAGGACAGAGGTCCAAGGCCAAGATTCCTGGAATGCTGGCACTGTGCAGCCCCTGTGCGAGGCAGAAAGAGGCCAGGTTGGTGCCACAAGCAGGAAAATACCCCAAAGTGAACCCAAAAGGTCTTGCAAGGGGCTTTGCTGGAAGCCACCTCCACTGCAGCACTGGTCTCCATGGAGAGAGCCATGACCGCCCTGGCACTGACCAGCAACAGAACTGTGGGTTTGGACACTGCCCAGCAGAGGGTGAGTTTTTGAAAGCACTGTAGAACTCACCACGTGCGAGGCAACCTGCCGGTACTTGCTGAGCTCCTCTGGCTTCACCAGCTCCTCTGGCACTGTTTTGCCCCTCTGCAAACAGGAAATGGCATGGGGATGAACATTTGTCCCTCTAGGAACACACCATGCATATCTCGTGATCACTGTGGTATCCTGAATGTGAAATGTAACCATGAAATGTGGCCGCTCACCTTCTTGCGCTCTGTGGTCAGTACAGTGGCCTTGTCTTGAAGCTACGAAACAGCACGACAGTGGTTACAGCCAACCTGCCAACCTGGGCTCTCCCAGCAGCAGGACAGGGAGTAGCTTAGAGCTGGAACAGCACAGGTAGCACAAGTCTTTACCTTCTGGATAATCTCAGGGGTCATGCCTGCAAGCTCACCCAGCTCCATGGACTCCCCAGCTCCCTGCATAGAACAGAGAAGGGCTCAGTTATATGCAGGTAGGAAACAGGAGAGAGACACATAGTGAGGTAGAAGAAACTCACCGGCACATTAGGCTGTGAGGACGGCACTGCCTGTGGCACGATAAGGCCGGCCTGCGGTTTCAGTGTGGCCAGAGCTGCAGAAGCAGAGAAACATTATGAGTTCCACCCTCCACCCTGGAGGCACTCAAGGCCAGGCTGCAGTGACTCCGGGCAGCCTAGTCTAGGGGCTGGCGACCCTGCGCATAGCAGGGGGTTGGAACTAGATGGCCATTGTGGACCTTTTCAACCCAGGCCATTCTGTGGCTCTATGGTTCTCTTTCCCTGGAGTTTTGCAGTCCCCTTCATCCAAGCTCACCTTCTCTGGCAGCAGTGACCTCCTTGGTAAGCCGTGCGATGACACGGCAGGCAGCATCATGCTGGTACAGCGCGTGGGACAGCTCCTGGCGCGTGGTCTGCAGCTGCTGGCGCAGCGTGAAGCTGTGCAGCATGACAGCATCCTACAAGGGCACCAGAAGGGGAGTCAGGGGGCGGCACTCAGCCCCGCACCTCAGCTCTCTGCAACTTACCCACTCATCCTGCAGCGCCTTCAGGATGGCCGGGATGCTGGTGGCCGATGGTGGCTTGGGCCGGATGGGATGGGCAACTGCCAACACAGATGCACCCTCAGCTCCTTGCCCTTTGCCACAGCCCCTCGTGCCCCCGCTGGCAGCGCGGGCACGGGCTACCGGTGTCCCCCCGTGCCCTCCCACCTTTGATGTCTATGAGCTGCTCTTCGGACAAGGGCTGGTTGTTGACGGGGTCGGTGCCGTTCTCCGCAATGTATTTCTCGATCAGCCGCCGCTCGTACACGTGGTTGGACACCGGCGACACGCACGGGTGCTCGGGGACCTCGTTGGAGACTGTGGGGACAGCGTAGGGGGCGGCGCAGGTCACGGCGTGGTCCCGACGTCCCCCCC